TTTATTTATTTATAATTTCACAATTAATGCAGTAACTTTGGTAGTCAGATGTAGTGGGAAGGGGGTACTAAGTGACTTGCCAAAGGTCTCTGGGTAAACTGTTTAATTGGTGAGTTTTCTAGTTTGCTAAATTGCATATACAGTAACTGAGAGCCCTCCACTTCTCTTTGCAGTAGAACTCCAGCCAGAACATGGTCTGTCTTTGACCAAGAGTAAAGAGAGAGATCACCTTGACAACCAAATTGAAAATGCTCCAAAGAATATTCCAAGCGATAACCTGGGTCATCTGCCTGAGAAACAGCCCCAAAATCCTGATGAAATTAAAAGACAGCAGGACACTAGTCCAGGAGACTTAAAGCCTATACAAAACAAATTAAATGAAATTCCTGCTAAAAATCTAATGGCTCAAATAAACGATGATGAGAAAATTGTACAACACCAAGCTAATGCAAACCACAAAGAGGAGTTGGAGCCAGTCAGGAGTGATTCACAGAAAGCTAGGCCTGATGGACCCCACCAGGAGAAGCAAGCCAAGGCTGAAGATTTGAAAGGGCAGGAGATTCAAGTGGCAGACAATGTTGAGAAAAGAAAGGAGGCTGTGAAAAGGGCTGAAAGTCAAAGAGACATTCTAGAGGTACCCAACATCCATGGTGCTGAGGGAAAGATTCCTCGTAGAGCTTCTGACAGTGAGTCCCTTGACAAGGAGGTCAAAAAAGACTTCCATGATCCAGACATTCCACTTAAACCAAAGATTGCTGATAACATACCAGGGAAATTGGAGGTCCGAGAAACTGTGAAAGGTAAGGAAAGACAGAGCTTACCTTTGGACCAGGTTGACAGTTTACAGGGCCAGAGGGCCAAGATTAAAGAGAGGATGGCCACTGGAGCACATCATCCACAGCTGAGTAATGCCAACGATCAAGGGCATGATTCAAAGAGAGAGCAAAGGATTCCAGAGAGCTTGCATGAAGCTGACAGTGACCATATCTTACAGGCAGACATAGTTAAGCCTGAGTCCAGGGATTATGAAAAGGCCAAACCCAACAGAGACCTCAAGCTTCAAGCGGACCTGGACCTGCGCCGCAAAAGGCGAGATCTGGAAGAAGAGGTGGGAGGTGTAATATTTGGACTTAACCCCGTCCCGGATGTGAAAGTCAATGACCTCCGTAGCGCATTAGACACTAGGTTCAATCAGGCAGCAGAAGGTGCCCAGCAAGCCCTTCACAGCCGACAGATTAAACAGATACCAGCAGGAGAAGAAGAGGAGTGAAAGTCTCCGCACTCTGAAGAAATGTGGGAACCCACCAGCTGCTTAAAGGTGTTTGTTACACGGCTAACTGTCAATGGTATATAACTGTTGGCAGCCCAGATCAACTGGCTCAATCTGAACTGAGCCCCTGTGACTGAGCATTGTTCGCTCTGGAGGAAAGAGGAATTTCCATGCCGCCAGCCAATTTCATTTTTCAAAATGGTCTCTCTTCACTCTGCTGGTAGCTTTTGTGCAAAACCCAATTTTATCTATTTTCTAATGGGTTCTGAAAATGCTTTACGCTCACCATCTTTCCAAAGAAGCATGTATATTTTTATTCCTGCTTTTAAATTGTTTAATTTCTGTGTCTAGGATTTGTCTGTTATCTGTTATATTTTATCTCGCTGGGAAATCCCTTTATGGGGGTATGTGGACGTTACCCTCCCTTAATGTTTGGATTTTTGTGTTCTGCCGCCGTTTGCTAAATGGGTTGATTTGGCTTTTGGAAATGGTTGCAAGAAGATGAAAGAAGTTCTGTAAATGTTTGAAAGCTAAGCTTCCCTTCAAAGATAAATTCTTAGGAATATGAACTTGATTGCTAGCAAGTACACTTTTACAGCAACTTATGAACTGCTCTGATCTTCTTCAACCAGGTCCAGTATTAGCAATAATAAAAGTAGCCTTTTTTCATTTTTGGTTTTCAAAATATAGGTCTAGGTTTAAAAAAAACATACCTGTCTTAAGGGCATTATGGAACCATATTGTGCATAAAAGCCTTGCAAGATGCTAGTTTAAATGAAATTATTTCAAGGGAGCACTATCAAAGTAGGCCATCTACCTCTTTCCTCCATTTTATGAGTCCATATAGAGTAACTTAAAGCTTGTCCTCCTATATCCCTTCCATTTTTTCAGGAGACCCTAATGTGTGAGATATGTTAGTCCCGTCTTAAGAGTTGGCAAGCTTCAACATTTGAACACAATTAATTTGTTCTAGGTGTCCTTAACAATCCCAAGGATTGTGTTAACAAATGATACAGCTAATTTAAGCTTGACATATGATTGTCACTAATGTCCAAAGATATTTGGAATTTGGCTGTAAATAGTGAACTAACAAAGTCAGCAATCAGTTTATGTTCATAGAAGAAGAGGGGGAAAATAAGGCGGATGTTGCTTCTGGAGCGTAGCTTGGCCTGCAACATGGAATTGAGATTGGGGGGGGGGGGGGGGCAATGCCATTGTTGTATCTTGCCTGTGAAGTATATTTGCTGTATTTCCATTCAGGGAGACAGAGAAATGTGGCTGGTACCACTTGACTATTGCAAGGGGCATTTTTCCTTGTTACAAACATTATTGTTCTAACTTTTCCTCAGGCATTTCATTGGTCCTGTTTGACCATCATATTAAACTGTGATTTTGGGTGATTGTAATAAGCTACAAAGGGCCTTCATCTTACCTATAATCCCCCTCCTAAGCCTCCACCACCAAAGGCCACATGGTGTTTGGAAACTTGAGCTTCTGTTTGGTCAATTAGTTTTCAAAATAAATTATGGTCTTTGTATCAAACTATGGCTAGCGCTGTCATAGCTCAATGGAAACTAGAGATTTCAAACTCCTTGCAAGACATATTTAAGAATAATATATGTGTGGTAGATTTATTGTCATCACATTAAACCAAGAATAGCCAAACTGATAGTTTTAGTCATTTTGGACTACAAAACCCAAACTCAATCAGCATGACCAGTGATTACAGGTATTATAGTCCCCAAAAAACTTGCAAGACATCAGCTTGTTTTCTGCTGGGTTTAATTGTGGCTGAGAGCAACATTTCCTAACCTAAAATCCCCAGATGTTTTGCTATTCTCTGAGTTTGCTGGGCATCTTGGAATTAAAGAGACTGGGGATGGGGTGGGGGTTGTTGTTGTTGGGCAAGGATAGATTTAGTATGATATTCCACATGACCATTGAACAGTGCTGCCCAAAGCACAATTAGATTGTGGTTGGATCGCTGTTACTCCAGCATGTAAATATGATTATTTTTTTGTAAATATCAGCCGAATTGCTTTAATGCAAAGGGCTATGAACGCCCTGTCATGGTTTCTCTGGCCACAGTGTGACCGTCTGCTATAATTGAAGGACCAAAGATACTTCTGGCATTCCTCCATAGAACAACCTGAATTTTTTAAACAATCCATCTCCAAGCAATTACAAAGAAAAACACAACACAGAAGGCGGCAGCCCTGGATTTCATCTGGAATTCCTCACTTGCTGCCACAGCAAAATGTTCAATTTGCAGTGTTGTACAATGACCCAGTCCCAGGGATTATGGTTATCCTGCACAAATCAATAAAAAGAACTGAAGCATCTTACCAGAGCCTTTTTTTTTCTTATTGGAAGTAGCTGGTTTATACAACACAGGACCCCAAGACTGTTTAGTTGCAGACAATACACGCAGTTGAGGAAATTTCTGTTGATGCATTTTCTAGTTGTTACATTCTGGTTTGATTTTGGATGCCATCAACAAAACTAGCTCACTACTAGCTTCAAGTAATATTATTAATCACCCTCGTGAAAACTACTGTACTTGTTCCCAGCCAGAGTACAATCCAATTATTTTCTGAGACATGGTCATAATGAACTGACAGACTTGTAAAAGATTCTGATATATGATATTTAATACGTTCATAAACTTTTTTCCCACAAGGACAGTGTTCCCCCACTCCCCCCCCCCAATGAACTAATGTTGGTCTTTTGGTTGTGACAGGAATTGATCAATGGACCAGCTTGTTGCCTGAGCCTGACATTATGGGTCGAGAGTGACTGGCCCAAGATCAGCCAGCTGGCTTTCATGCCTAAGGCGGGACTAGAATTCAGAGTTTCCAGCTTTCTAGCCTGGGGCCTTAATCACTAGACCGAACTGCTTCCATTTAATATTTTCACAAACATTAATACAAAGAGAAACATTTGTGTTTTATGACCAAAGTTGCATTCTAGAAATCCACCTAGTTGATATGTGTCTCTAGGTCTGAGCAGAGTCCAGCAAATCCCCTAAGAGTTTTAGAAACTCGGGAACCTTAACATGGAGGCCTAGCATTCCTATCCAACCAAAGAGGTACAACTTTGTCCCAATCTTCATATTGTTACTAGTCAGATTTTGAGCTGTTCTGTGGAACCTTGGCACATATACGCAAACACATTTTAGTCCTTAGGCAATTTCACTGATTGGATTTTTTTTCCCCAAAGCTTTAGTGAGGAAATTCATATTCCGACGGGAAATCAAATATTCAAAGTTGCAAATATCAGGATTTTTTTATATACCATAACTGGATATTTTTGGGTAAATGACCAATGACTGTTAGGGAGTTGGCCACTCTGGGCTTTCTTTGCCCCAGATTTTCAGGAGCTGGAATTAACAATATAAAGTAGCTTAAGCAAGATCTACAGGAGTATCTTATTTTATTCCTGTAAATAAGAAGGGAATTAGTAAATCCTCAGGGCAAAATTGGTACAAGTAGCTAATTTAACAGACATTCCACTGATAGGAAAAGGCTTCTGGTATATTAATGTCATATTTTACCGAAGGGAAGCTGACACATTTGCTAATAGAAATTCTAACATTACAAAAATTTGAATTAAATGGTATTTATATATTTTCTGGCTTTTATACTTCTTAGCCTTGAACTTTGCCTCTTGCCACTCTGAGAAATTATACTGCTCATCCCATGTTTAAATTAAAAAAAACCACACACTGAGTTTTACATTTAAAAAAAGTTTTCCAGAATGTGCTTACAGAACACACATGCATAAATTGAAAAGCCATTAGCTTTTGGCACATTGGGAAATATTCCATTTCTGGATCTCAATATAACGACAGATGGAAAAGTTCTTTATTCTTCTGTGCTGAAAACAACTATAAATCCCAGATTTGCCATCAGTATCCATTTCAAGTCTTTACATTCTTTTTTGCCTGCAAAGAAAGATCAATTTTGTTAGAATAAACATTAAGAATTATGTAAATATACTCATACCAATATATCCTGTAGCATAAGGCCAATGAAATTTCAAAATGGATCAGCTGTCTGCTATCCTTATAACATTTAATTAATATGCAAAGCAAATATGGTACAGGTAGTCCTTGACTTTAAGCATTCCTTTAATGACCATTCAAAGTTATAATGACATTGAAAAAAAGTGACTTATGACCAGTTTGCACACTTAGAATCACTGCAGTATCCCCCTAGTTATGTGATCAAAATTGGAGCACTTGGCCACTGGCATGTATTTATGACAATTGCAGTGTCCCAGGGTCATGTAACCTTCCAAGCTAGCTTCTGACAAGCAAAGTCAATGGGGGAAATCAGATTCACTTAACAAATGCAGCGATTTGCCTAACAATTGTGGCCAAAAAAAAAGTAAAATGGGGCACAACTCACTTAAAAAACGGTCTTGCTTAGCAATTGTGGTTGTAAGTCATGGACTACCTGTCTATCTAAATACATAGATTCTACTAACTTCCATATTAAAAGGGATAAGCTTGTCCCAAAGAAAATCACACACAGTTTTTTTTTACCGTAGTAGTTTCTTTCATAAGTTTCTTTGGTCAAACTAAGCTATAACTAAATGAATAAAAATCCCATGATAGCACCAGTAAGTTTCAGATAAGTCTGCATGCTTGTGTTGGGTAATGTGGTTTTCTAACAGCAAAACTGATTAGCAGACCTCTTACCAACCCCTGCATTTCAAATATAGGTAGTCCTCAATTTACAACCATTCACTTAGTGATGGTTTGAAATTACAACGGCACTGAAAGAAGTTGACTTTTGACTGTTTTTCACATTTATAACCATTGCAGCATCCCCATAGTGATGTGATCAAAATCTGGATGCTTAGAAACTGATACGTATTTATGACAGTCGCAGTCTCCCAGGATATGATCCCCTTTTACAACCTTCTGACAAGCGAAGTCAACGGGGAAACCAGGTTCACTTTACAATTGTGTAACTAACTTAACATCTGTAGTGATTCACTTAACAACTGTGGCAAGAAAGGCCATTAAATGGGTCAATTATGGTCATAAGCCGAGGACTATCTATAAACAGATGCTTTCTTACAAGTACAAAGTTTTGGGGCACTCTGAAAGCTATTCTCCCTGCAGAAAAACTATTTCTTCTGCCAAAGATACAGAAACAAGCCTAAAAGCTGTAAAAATGTCAAGAAAGAACAATTCAATGTGGTAATCCTAAAAGCAAAGCAAAGCAAAGCTCTAGCAGCTGCTGATGTCATTTACTACTGAACTTCCTTTCAATTTGTAGGTGCTATAAATTCTTTGCAGCAAGAGTGAACTTTTATTTTAATAAGGGGGAGAGTCGGAATTTAACCCCCTATGTCTGTTAAACTAGGATTATTTCCATGATTTTTTGATCAGCACTCCACATTTCCAGCTACCAAAAATAGAAAAGAGGACAACAGCACATTTTTATTGTGTATTTATATATCTCTGTATTTATAGTATGTTTTGCTCCTAACCGGATCCCAAATGAAAAGTTAACCATGTGAAATGAAAAACAAAATGCAAACAACTCACAGCCTCTGTGAAGCAATCCATCAGCATTGCAAATTCCTTGGCACACACATCCTTTTTCAAGTTTCCATGTTCAGTAGTATTGGAAGCAATACATTTGCCATAAACTGTGGCCTGCAAATATCAGCTCTAATTAGATGCAGACTGCAAGGCATATTAAAACTATGGTAAACCCTAAGCAAGTTTTATCTTTGTAGGCCTTCACTGTAGTAATAATCCAGATGCTTAAGAATACCAAAGGTATAACCAGAGACCTATATTCTTCAGTAAGTCACAAGGAGTTAGTCAAGTAAGTGCATATGTAATAAATATTACCTCAGTTTTAGGATATATGGAATTTTATTTTACTGTTACTTTTCACATGTCCTGGTTTGGGGTTTTTTGCTTGTAGCTTAAAATATTTTCATAAATAACAAAAGTTTAGTAGTCCTTAGGCACTTTGCTTGAGATACCATGGACTATTCTGGTCTGAGTATGTATCTGGTTTTTCCAATTTGTTCCACTTTGGTTTTTAAGCCACCTAGAGATTTCTAATCTCTGCCAAACTTTATTCAAAGGAATAGGATTAACTCATACCATTCTTATTCAGACCTTACAAGACAATTCACTTTAAGAGGAGGATCTGTTTCCCAGCACAGCAAAGGCAAATTGTCCAGTGCTTTCCCTTAAAAAAAAGCATACATACAAATACATGCTTGCATGCAACAGTTCAGAAAGGGACAGGATCCTGAACAGACAACAGTCACACCCTGAAGGACCAACTTTCTCTTTCTTTCTGACATTTACTTCCTCATTTTTGGGACTTTTTTTATAGCTGCCTACCTCACACAATGACTTTAAGCAACTCACAATTCATTAAAAACACCAATAAAATAAAAGTACCCTTCCCTTCAGGTTCCAGACCAAACAGCCTCCCAATTCAACCCCATCTTGATCCAATTGTTACAACAATAGTAAGCTCTTCACGACCCTCCTCTGGAAGGCTAAAGGGTAGGAATCTCTCATATACGAGGCTATTCCAATGTAATGGCCACTGAAGTGTACCTTTCAGGTCTCATCAACTGACAACATTTAAGGGAGGGAATCTAGAGTGGAGCCACCTATCTAACCTAGTAGGATGGGCAGAGAGAGGCAGTTCTGCCAATAATGCAGCTTTGGGCCATATACAGTGTGTTAAAGATGACGATAACCAGCACTTTAAATTTCATCCAGAAAGTAACTGGAGGCTACTGCAGCTCATGCAACCGCGGTGTTAATCAGATGCAGGGTGACTAAGGTATGAGTGGGTGCAATTGGTGCACAAGATTAATTTGTGTAAAGTCCTCCCACTCCAGCACAGCTGCCACCTGCTCTTCCAGGAGGGCCCCATCCAGACTCAGAAATGTCAACACTCTGGTCCAGTGGGGTAGGGTAGCAGACACAAAGACCCAGAACCCCTCTTTTTTGCTAGGGTTGAGTTGCAACTGGCTCCTCCCCACCTTACAGTTTCTCTAGGCATTGAGTCACCATCTGTACAGCCTCACTTGCCTAGCATGGAAGAGAAATATATGTATTGTATGAACATTATACTGACGATCCCAAGTCCCACGCAGCTTAGATCTATAAGCCAATGTTTTTCAAACTTGTCAACATTCTCCTTTATTTAGTTAAACTTGTCAACTTTTAAGTTATGTGGGTTTCAACTCCCAAAATTCCCCAGACATTATGGAAAAGTTTGGGGCCCCATAGCTGGAGAATTCTGGGAGCTTAAGTCCCCACTTCTCAAAAGTTGACAAGTTCGATACTGGTGTTAAGTAGGAGGCAATCCACACTACCTAAAACTCTTTGCTCCTTTCCCACCAGGAGGAGTGCAACCCATCTAGCTTCCCTTTTCTATATTAATATTATTGCTGTTGTTATTATTGATCATTGCAGTCAGCCAGATGTTTAGACTTGAGTTTGGCATTTTTGTCTACCTATCGAGTCCTTACCAAGGACCTGGGATAGGCAAATTGGGATGTTTGATGGTGTTACAGATATCATCGCAGGATGGAAATAATAGCTTCCATCCTGCGACGATATAATTATTGTTAGTATTATTAATAATAACTATATGCCATCAAGTCATTTTCAAGTCCTAGCGACCACACAAGCAGATTTTCTCCAGGACGGTTTCCCTTAAATGCTGAGTGTGCGGACTGAGGTGACGGGGATGCTGCCTCTCGCTGCCCCTGCAATCTGCCTCTTCCGGACTCCCTACCTGCTCCCCGCAACTCGCCAGCAGTTCAGGGAAGCGCTGCACCCTCGCTCGGACGCGTTCCCAGACTGCTCGACTGGACATAGCCGGAAGTGTAAAAGCCAGCTATCGGCTGGACGCAGCCATAACCAGGCCCTCCTTCCGCGAAGGAGCGTTTTTTTTAACACACACACCCCTCTTCGACTCTCCACCGTCGGCCTGGAGCCGGGCCTTAAACACGACCCCGCTTTAAGACTGGGGGAACGGCTCCACGCTCCCTCTCCCCTGATTGGTCCCGTTCTGCACCAGAAACTTCCGATTGGACGAGAAATGGAAAGCCGCGGAACTTGGCTGTCGCCGTTCGCTGGCGGCGTCTGATGACGATAAGACAGCTGTTTGCTGTGATTGGCTGGATCGGGATAGGGTCGCCGTTCGATTGGAGTAGCTGTCGTCCAGGGAGGCGGCCTGTTAGAAGTGTATGGCTGGACCCGGAAGTCACCATGGCGGCTGTCACTTTGCGAGATCGGTTGAGTTTCTTGACTCGGGTTAGCTTAAAATAACGTGAATTTTTTTTAGGGACTGGCGTATGGAGATTTAGAGTATTAATTTATCCTAAAATCTCTGCGGTAGGGTGGAGGTCAAGAAGCCAGATGAAGTTCTGATTTTTTTCCTAGAGATGTATTTGATGCTTCAGTTCTTTTGATAGTTCAATGCTTTAGTAGTATAAGGCAGAGAAGAAAATAAATATGGTTTATCAGTGCAGGGTGTAGAGGTGGAGCTTGTATGTTGCATGCTGCTTGAAAAGGCTTGCAGAATCCTCCATGGAGGCTTGTTTCTTTGTTTTCAATAACATCAGGCTTTGATTTACTTGTAAACAAGAGCATTCAAACATACAACATGGGGCATGCATAAGCGCACCAACATGCCTACCGTCCGTGTCCTATTGTTTCTTTTATATATTTTATTTTTCTCATATGTATCCTGTATTCATAACTATGTTTTTACTTATACCTATTATCTTGTAAGCAATTGACAAATAAAAATAAAAAATAAACATATTTACTAACATTGAAGTAATGCAGTCTGTAAAGGGCTCTGAGACCAGCAGCATATGTGAATTGGGATTAAAAAATGAAGACACCAATCATCCCAGCATCAACACTTTATACAGTTTCTATGCTATATTTCAGTGATAAAATGATAGTGACTTACAGCTCTGTGATGCTACCAGATAATTTAATTGAAATAAACATTTTTGAAGAAGATTGTTGAAGCTGCATAATTTATACTAGCGAGATAGTAAGTCCAGCAAGGCACAAGCCACAAGTGATATTAATGTTCCACTTAGCAGTGCAAACATAGGATGACACCTACTTGTAAATAGAGGTGTTACCAGTTGCCTCAAATATAACCAGCGATAACTTGAAGAGATGTCAGCCAGTGTGCAGGGAAGTCACATTGTATTAGGTTAAGTTTGCTTGAAATGAAATAATCATTTAAGCATTTGGAAGCAAAGAAGATCATTTTTCTTCTGTCTGCATTTGGAGATGGGGTGGTTTTTTTTGCCCTTTTTGGGCAGAGAAAATACAGGCTTCATTCTTTTGTTGTACCAACATTTGTAAAAGATAGTTGTAAATATTGTAAAATATAAGATACTGTTTTCTACTATTAGGGTATGCCATATTCTATTACAAAAAATGAACTCTGATAGTAATGTTTCCTTATTCATGAAATGATACTATTAGGCTTACCTGTATTTTCTCATTGCTATGTCTCTCTAATTTCTACTGCCTCATAATGCCATTGGTTGTTGATACTAACAATTATATATTAGGAAAAATCCAAAGTGACTTTTTTTGTATAAGTGTGTTCTTTTCTTCAGCTACCCACTCTAATCAAAGGCACCTCAGATGATGAAGTTCCATGCCCAGGTTATCTGCTTGAAGAGATTGCCAGTATCTTTTGATCTTTAGAACAGTTGGATGATCTGTATGTGATCTATTCATGAAATCATTTTAGTTATGCAGTGCTCACTTTTGTTAATAGCAAAAATGTGTGGCTATAATAGAGCCTAAGACAGCTAATGTTCTGGAATCTTGCAACAGATTGGGAGAGCAGCAGCTACATTTTTTTAGTTGCATCCCCCCCCCCTCCATTTGCTTAATCCCATACCTATATATATTGAAACTCTATTGTATTAAAAAAAATTCTTATTCTAGCAATTCAAGAAATGTAGGACTTGGAAGGCAAACCGGCACAAAAGTCTGAGCGATGCTTGTCTATCAGTTCCTTTATGTTGTTAACTCTTTAACATAACAAACTTCCAGAGATCTCCCATGAATCAACAGGAAGCAGTCACTGTCTTCTTGAATACCTCCTCAATCGTCTTCAGAGCAACTCATGCCATATCAAGCTAAAGGTAAAAAAAAAAAAAAAGTGGCTTGAAAGAATGTGGCCAAAACTAGAGTGGCTCATTGGAATAGGCATCCGTAACTTTGAAACAAAAACAAAGATTTATACTTTTAAATCTATTTTCACAATCCCAACTTAGCTTCTGCATTCTTAGGTGCTTAAGATCCTGCTCTATATGTGTACCCATGGCTCGTCACCTTTCCTTCTGCAGCTTAAGAGGAATTCTTCGTTCATTCAGGAAGCCATAGGTAGGTCAGAGATTCCAACCGGAATAACTATGTCTTCCAAATAGTTATATAACGTACACTCAGCACCTATGTGATCTCTGATAAAACATCAGCATGGTTAATGTTATTGTCATACATTACAACTGAAGGGTTTGACACTGAGAAAAGATAAGGCTAGTTAGCAAGTTTGGGTCGGAAAATGGCTTCTTGATTTGCAATTCAAATATAACTTATTAGTTAAATAACCATCAGGGGATAGGTCCCACTGATCTCCTGGGTTAGGCACACATGGAACAATGCTCCTTAACACTACACTAAAAGCAAATGGAGAATACAATGTTCTCCTCTCCATGGACTCCAGTGGTCCATGAGAACAGAGCTGTCACTGTACTATCAGTTCCAAAGTATCTTTCCCTGCCAAGAAAACTGCTCCAATCAAATAAACATTTTAAATTATTTTAATTTTTCAGATAGGTTGAAGGTGTTGCTCCTAATGGGTGACTTTGACTTTAGATATATCTCTTGCTCATTATTTTCTATGGCATAGAGAAGAGGGAGGTGGAGATGGATTGGCAACTATTTCTGGGTATTGTAGGTCCCGCACACATTTACATGCATAAAACCTCATTTATTATTTGGCATCAATACAAGTGATCTTTATTATATAACTCTTTATGATTGTGGATTATAGGAGCCATGGTGGTGCCATGATTAGAATGTAGTATTGCAGGCTAACTGCCCGCTGCCAGGATCATCCTGATCATCCAGGTTCATCCTGATCAGCTCACAGTTGACTCAGCCTTCCATTCTTCAGTAAAATAAGGACCCAGATTGTTGGGGGCAATATACTGACATTGTAAACTGTTTAGAGAGTGCTGTGAAGCATTATGAAGTGGTAGATAAGTCCAAGGGCTTTTGCTTTCTCTGTTGTGGGTATGTTTTATACTAGGATTGTTGATATGGAACTTGTTGCATAGGATATTTTTCATTGCTGCAAAACAGAGTCAGCTGCTTTGGTTGATGCAGTTGCTGTTTTTAGGAATCTAAGGAATGAAATCTATGCAAAGCACGCATGGATTCTGCTCTTTCACTGTCTCACCATCTCCTCTACCTTGTAGGATTCACAGGGCCTCCTGATCCTCTCCATGGCAACAGCCTGTATCAGAAGGTGCGGATGACTGCACAGGTGAGTGACAAGACCCAGTTATGAGCTCTTGATACTCTCAAAGCCTATGGTGTGGAAGGGTTTTCTGTATGACTGTTCATCACATTGCCCTTTGCTTGCTTCTCTCCTTGTAGGACCTGGTAGGCACTTTATTTTCAGATGTGCTGTTGCCTCAGTGTGTTATTCAGCCACCTAAAGAGCTGCCTTCAGCAGGTAAACTAATATTGCCAAGATAAGACCGTAGTGCTGTGTAGATCCCCTGTATTACCTTTTTCAGTTAAAAAAATATGTAATTTTATTTTCCTTTTTCTCATTTTTCCTCCTTTCCTTCCATGCTAAGGTGAGCATGATTTCTTGGCCCTGAATAACTGAGGGAAGAAAATAACTATCTTTGAGAATGATCCTATCCAATTACCTCTAGTTTGGGGAGGTTAAACCATCTATTTTGCCTTTTTCAAATATTCCAGAATAAAGCCTGGCGCTCGAGCTATAGTAGAATTATAATTCTAGGCCAAATTATTGTAGCCAGGTGAGAATAATTTCACTTTGAAGGGTACTTACAGCAAATCTTCAACTGAATTAAAGGAACAACTGTTAAGAGTAAGAATGGATAGGCTCCTTCAATTTCCATTCAGGCTTTATTGTTAGGAGGGTGGAAGTAAAAATTATTCTGCTTCTGTGCCTCTCTTTAGCCAGGAAGTAAGTCAGTTGCTACAACATCACCCTGACACTGGAAGAGCTCGGCCTCATGGTTTCAGGCAATTTGTCCTCAGATCCAATAATCTGCTCCCAGTAATTCATTTGCATATGTGCAGTCTGGTGCTATATTTTCTGAGAGGAAGCAGTTTTCAAAATACCCGAGCCTTCTTATCTCAGTGGCAGTTGGTGACCAGTTTTTTATTTGAATGAATAGAATGTAAATGGAGAGACAGTTTGGGATAGTGGTTAAGGTCCTGGCCTAGAAACCAGGAGAGTGAAAGTTCTAGTCCTGCTTTAGGCAGGAAAGGTAGCTGGATGACTTTGAGCCAGTTCCTCTTTCTCGGCCCAACCCACCTCACAGGGTTGTTGTGGGGAAAATAGGAGGAAGGAATATTAGATACAATTGCTACCTTATTTATAAAATAATGATGAAAGAATAAAAATAATTGCTGATAAAGTTATTTTCATCTGATGCTGATAAAAGTGGAGAAAAGCATGTGAGCTGCCTACAGCAGTGCTATGCTGGATTCAGACTTCTTTTGTAAAGTTCCTTTCGTGTCTCTCTTCCTAGGTATGGGAAATAGGTCTAGCCCCCACGGCTCCCTCGAAGGCTTTGGTTTTGAAAAGAACAGCTCTGGTAAGTGTTGGGTTCAAGAGCTGAAGGGACGTGATTTCTATGATAGCCCCAATTCTTTGGGCAGGAACTTCTGCCTGCCTCCTAGTCTTCTGCTTCATCCATCTTGCCTCCAGAACTTTGCTATTCGTCATATTCAGAACCTTTCTTCTCCTGATTCCTAGCAGTATCCAGCAGTACTGCTTGGGCTCAAAGCCACTCTGAGCACTAACGCAAGTTGA